AGCCTTCATTATGCGCGCCTCCTTGAGAAACTCGTCTTTCGACATGGCGCCCGGTTTGAGCATCTTCACCGCCACCTCTGTGGTGCCATTCCACGTCGCTGAAGGTAGCAAAACATAAGAAACTAGGTCGGAGGCATCGAGGCTTGAAATATCACGCACCGCTATTGGTGCAATTTATTGGTGTACGGAGCCCGATTGCTCCCAGGGAAGGGATAACAAATGCTGTTGTAGGGATGATTTTTACTCAGAGGTATATTCCAGAAGTGCTGCATCACACATTCTGGAAGTCGATAGATTGCTCAAAACACACAACAGGTACGCTGATAGCACCAGACGCACATCGTCGCCTATTGGTCAAATCAAGGTCACGCCAAGTTACCGTGATTGGTCACTTCATGTTGAATTTTGCCAAAAAACTGTTTTTGTCAATTTACCGGGGCCGCGCGATTTACCAAATAAGACAACCCTCTAGAGGCCGATTGTGCATGGGAAAAATGTGCATTTTCGAAATTTTGCGCGTGGCTTGATTTACGACCTTGTGTACGCCATGTGGGAACAAACTTTGTGAATTAAAACTTCCATTTATCAAGCCCGCTCCGTTGGAATTGTGCACAATACGAAAGACGCGCGCCAGCAGTTAAACAAGTGACGCGCGCGTTTCGAAAATGTGTAAATGCGAGTATAAAATCGTGGGACACAGCAAGAGGAATGGCGGCTCCCGAATGTGACCGAATTTGACTTTATTTTGGTGACGACGAATATGATGCCGATGATTCTGACGACGGCGGTGGCGGTCTCAAAGGGAACCGTCTTGACAAAAAATCCCGAATTGGCTTCCCAGAGTGTTCAGTAGTGGTCCACCTACGCCAGACATAAATGTCAACCTTGCATTATTTATGGCAAGAGTTGTTCCCATCCTGGAAACAAACAACGGAGCAAATGAAGCAAACGGAGACAATGCCAGGTGAATGTATGGACAACGGAGGAGAAATCCAACCGCAGACTTGAAAAGACATTGATGGGGCTTGTGGGTGCAGCGTTGGGGAATGAAAAAGCTCCCGTGAGACGGCTAGAGTGCTCAACCATTGGCTGAGTCGAGCCAGGTTGAGGACGAGTGAGACCAGGGTGGAGATTGGGGATCGCTGACGTCCAAAATCCACGGAAAACAGTGTCGGCGTCGAAGCCAGGGCTCTTGAAGAGTTGATCAAGGGGCGTTTTTGGAAGCAGCCACAGTTCCAGGGCTGTGAAATCGGCTCCTGGAGCGTATGGACAGAGACGAAGGAACACATTCCACAATAAGAACGTCCATAAGGCCGATTTTTCAAAGAAAACTTTTCTTCTTTAAAGA